GCCTTGCTCCTGCAGCTTGGAAAGCTGCTTATTCCCCAAATAACAGCCCCCCCCCCGCCTCCTGTTTCTCCCACACCCCCAGACACGTGTAAAACCCCCCACCCTTGGCCCCTCCAGAACCGACATTCCCGACTCAATATTCATAATTTAACCGGAGGAGCCAGAGCCTGAAATCTCCCTTTTTCGCCTCTGCCTGGGGGTTTGTGGGTCTGTTTGCAGGGAACGTCAGGTTTGGTGCTGCTTTCTTGTCTCCAGGAGAAAAACCGGGAAGGGAAGGGGAAGGGAAGGGGGGGGGGGTCGCTATTCCCCGTGTATCTCCTCGCAATTTGGGTTTTGTCAAGAGCAGACTGTCAAGAATACACCCGGCAAAATAAGAGTAGGAAAGGGCCGAGAGACCCATCTGTGCATATAATGCCATTTTAATGGTCAATTCTTTCCTTCCCCCCCCACCCCCAAGGAACACCCCCTCGCCTCAATTTTTAAATTACCTTCTCCCACCATCCCCACAGTGCTACGAGCTTAAAATAAGCGCCCCTTTCGCGGCGAGAAGAGCGAAACTAAAATAAAATCCAGGGCCCCCCCCAACCCCCCCTTCCAGGCGCCAGAGGCAGCTTTAAAGCAGCGATCAGAGCAAGAAATACAAAAGCAATAAATAGCTGCGTTTCTCATCAAAGCGCCTCCACCGAATAAAAGGAAGGAGAGAAAAAAAAAGGAGCGGGGTGGGGGGGGTGGGGAGGGAAAAAAAAGGGGGGGGAAAGGGAAAGGAAAAAAAAACACCAAGAAACACGAGAGAAAAAGAGAGGGGGGTGTGCGAAAATAAACAACGACAAGGACAACGACGGAAAAAGAAGTAGCTGTACCATGGCTAATGTGAAGTTTCCTCATCCAAGGGAATATCTGAGGTGCCTGCCCTTCTGTCGCTGCCGTGGAGGTCGCGATGGGCTCTGCCTGCGCTCGGGGGATGCTGCTGCTTATTGGAGTGCCCTCGTCGGCTCCCGAGGACGCGCTGGTCTCGTCTAGTTCTGTGAAATTTGTGTTGGTGGTGCTGGCAGAAGTAGCTTGGTCGGAGGGGGACGGGGCGGGTTTGCCTCCATGGCTCTCGCTGTTGGAGCAGGGAAGGGAGTCGGGAGAAGATAAGGAGCAGCTTGACGCCTGCCTAAACCTGCTCTCCTGAGCTGGAGAAGGGAAACCGCGGGAGCTCTCCCCCACAGCCCCAAAGTGACTAGAGGAGGCTGAGCGGTTGATGCTAAGGTCCATCCCATTGTAGTTGTAGCCATAAGAGCTGGAATGCATGGTGCTTGAATCTCTGTAAGAACCGTTCATGGAACTGCCGGTCCCATAATTTAGTAACTGATAGTCGGGGCCATTTGGGTAGCGCCCTGAGAACGAGTTTACAAAGTAAGAGCTCATTTGGGTTATTTTGGAGGGCTTGATTTGTGGCTCGTGGTCGTTATAACCCTGTGCTTGACGATTTATGATGTATTAATGAATTATAGCGATGCACTGTACTTCGTTTTTGCTATGTACGCGGCCAAATATGGGGGGAGGGTGGGGGGTGCGTTTGGGAATCACGTGCTTTTGTTGACCAGTCGTAAATTCTCACTGATGACCTCAAGAGGTAATTCATGCTCTATGGTTACAAATAATGACGAGCGCGGAGCCGTTTAGGCCCGGGCTCGGTGCGCGGGCGCCCCAAATCCCCGGGCGCGCCATCGCCCCCCACCTTGGCGGACCGCGCCACCTGCCGGCAACCGGGGGGACCTGCAGCCCCCTCCGGGGGGGCCCCCAGACCCCCGAAACCTCCCCCGGCCTGTCCTCTTTCCCCCCCCCTCCGCCCCCTCTTTTTTTATTTTTTTTTTTCCTCCTTAAAAAAAAAATTTAAAAAGAAAAAATCGGCACCAAAAAACCCGCGTGCGGGTGGTGGCGGCGGTGAAGGAGGTCGGGGTGGTGTTCCGGCCGCTGCGTGGGTCTTCTGGGCTTTTTTTTTAATTAAACTCTTCGGTTTCTTCTTTCTTTTTTTTTTTTTTTTTTTTTTTTTTTTTTTTTTTGTGGAAAAAAAA